TATTAAACAAAATAAAGCAAAACAAAACCCTTCGCTGAGTGTCAGAACAACTTGTGAAACTAAGCTGAGAAACAGAGTCATGCCATTCTTGTCAGTATCTGGCAATGTTTTTTTTTAATCAACCTGAACACCAATATTTGATTTTATTATTGAATTGATATGCAGTTTTCTTCTGAATAATATCCAGGATGACAGCAATAGCAATAGCACATAGACTTTACATCACTTTACAGCCCTCTCTAAGCAGTTTACAGGTTCAGCATATTGCCCCCCAACAATCTGGCTCCTCATTTTAGGGACTTCAGAAAGATGGGAGGCTGAGTCAACCTTGAGCCAGTGAAACCCAAAGTGCTGAACTGCACGCAGCTGACAATCAGCAGAAGTAGCCTGCAGAACTGCATTCTAACCACTGCACCACCACAGCTCTTTCTAACTTGCTTGTTTTATGATTTCCCCATTCCTATAGTTACTTGCCCTTTAGAGAAATCCTCACCTTGGGGCAGCCAGACCTGGCCCTTTTACTCCTCAACCTATTCCTCTTTCTCTGTTTCAAATAGTACCATATCAGGCCACTTTCACTAGGCAATACTCCTGCTGTGTCTCCCTGGGCAGTGACTAACACAGAAGGCACAAGTTCACTGGATTTCCTGGAAGGTGACGCTGTTAAGTGTGACAAGTCTCAAGGTGCCAATTGAGTGACCTGACTACAAAACACTGCTGTTGCTTGGAGACCTGCTAAGTTGAGCTGAGGTACTGTTTCCCTTCTCGGACCACTTCCTATAGTTGTGCTGTTAGCATTCTGAGAATTTACAAATAATGTTTTCATCTCTAAAATATGCTTGGAGGACTGTGAGATTCTACTACACTACAAAAACAAATTAAACCGCTCATTTATTTCATTACTCTAGGCAATTATAATGTCACGATAACAACAACAAAATTAAAACAGCATTCAATCCAAAGAATAAAAACAAAATTGAATTGGAAGAGAAAAATAAATAAGAACAAGCAGGGCAGGTGATGTTACTGAAAGGGTCTTTGGGGAAAAAAATATTCCCATAAACAACCAGGGAGGGGGCCATCTAATCTCAGTGGTGAGTTCATTCCATAGCATTGGCCCTGCTAAGGACAGACAAGGCTTTCTAGCCTTGGTACACATCCCAGAAATGCAGGATAACAAGAAGCCCCTCCATGTATGATCTAACAGGCTAAGCTGAGTCTCATCAGACAAGGTGGTCAGGGGTGGACTTCAAAAATTTTAGCAAAGGTTCTCTGCCCAGTTCTTGAGTGGGCATGGGTATGGCCTTGTCGGCCTCCGGCACCATGGTGGGAGGTGGTTTTTCCCTCCCTGGCCTCCAGTGGCTTTCCTTAAGCCTCCGGGAAGGCAAAAACAGCCTCCCTGGGCTCCAGAGGCTCTCTGGAAGCTAGAAACAGGCCCATTTCTGGCCTTCCTGAACTTCTGGGAAGCCCATTTTTCACCCTCCCTGAGCCTCCATGTGTGCCCTGCACTTACCTGCATCTAAAACGGACCGCGTGGGGCAGTGGTGGGATTCAATTTTTTTTACTACTGGTTCTGTGGGTGTGGCTTAGCTTGGCGGGCTTGGCTTGGCGGGCATGGCAGGGAAAGGATACTGCAAAATCTCCATTCCGACCCCACTCCAGGGTAAGGATACTGTAAAATCCCCATTCTCTCTCTACCCCACTAACCTGTTTTCCAGCTCTGTTCTCCTGTGCAGGGCAACAAAAGAAGACCCAGCTGATCAGCTGGGACTCGGGAGGCAGAGAAGAGATGGGGGCTAGGCCAATCAGAGGTGGTATTCTGAACTACGCAAAATTTCCGCTACTGGTTTTCCAAACTACTCAAAATTTCTGCTACCAGTTCTCCAGAACTGGTCAGAACCTGCTGAATACCACCTCTGGTGTGGGGACTCCTGGGAAAGGAGGGGCAGGGTGGGTGGGGCCAGCCAGGAGTGGGATTTGGGGGTTCTCCAAACTGCACAGAATCTTAGCTAGGGGCTGCAAACCCCCAGCAGCCCATCTCTGGATATGGTCCTATAAATCAGAGGTCTCCAAACTTGGCAACTTTAAGACTTTAAGAATTCTGGGAGTTGAAGTCCACAAGTCTATAGATAGACTTGCTATAGATACTCAGGTGCCAAGTCACAAAGACCCATTTAGATTTATACCAGCAGTTTAAAAATAATATTTTATGTATTTTATTTATTTTTATAAGTAACCCAAAGGTGATGGATATACATAATATTCCCTTTCCTATTTCTCCCACTGCAATTACCCTGTCAGTTGGGTTGGCTCAGAATGAGTGACCGAAAGTTGCCTACCCAATTTTTCCTGCCTGAGGCAGTACTAGAATATACTATATCCTGGTTTCTAGTCTAGTGATTTAACCAGAAATATTCTGCCAGCACCAGGAGCCAGTTAAGACATGGGCCACCATGTTTGGGCCTTATTGCAATTTCTGGTTAGTCTCTAAAGGCAGCCACATGTAAAGTACCTGGTGGTATTCTATGAGGATGATTGTGGGAGTTCTTGTTGGGTTCTCCTGGACCAGGTAAAGATGCAGTAGGTGCATCAATCACAGCCAGGAAAAACTCCCCTAGTCAGGGCCTCCATGATTCCATAGAAGCCATGAGTTAAAAAGGGCCTCCAAATCACAACATTGCTCCTGGAAGGAATCTGCATCCATCTGCACTTGGCTTATCTTGAAGAAGGTAAACAGGGTAGCTCCTAATAATACTTGAATGGAAGAAATCACGGAGTACAGTAAGCCAATTTCTGTAACTTGACAACAAACTTTGAGAAATCGGCTTTAGTTCAAGTGTATTAGGTGTTGTTCAACTTATTCTCATCTAGTCCAGTCTTAGCTGAATTGCTTTAATCTGTTCAAGAAACTGAATCTAGAATGTTGCAAGGGCACAAGAGAAATTCTCTGTCCCAATTTCCTCTTTTAGTCTACCTGACTCCCCACTCCCAAGACACATGCCAATGTGTTTTAAAAGCCAAGAGAACTTTGCCCAAGACGTTTACTTCTCATATATTAAGCGACTACACCTCTCCCAGCGATGAGTTTGGGGGCGGTCTAATGAAATGTCTTCCAGCTCTTCAAGATTGACTTGACCAGGAAAATCAGGGGGCTGCCAAGGTCCCCCTGGAAGTCATTGGCTGGTCTTTCCCAGTGGATGCTGCGGCCGATCATGGCTCCCCTCCAATTCTAATTTATACTTTTATGCAGTATACAGGTCCATTGAGGACTTGTATACTGCACAAGTCAAACAGAGGGCTGTGAAAATATTTGCAGACCCCTCACATCCTGGACATAAACTGTTTCAACTCCTACCCTCAAAATGATGCTATAGAGCACTGCACACCAGAACAACTAGACACAAGGACAGTTTCCCCCCCGAACACCATCACTCTGCTAAACAAATAATTCCCTCAACACTGTCAGACTATTTACAAAGTCTGCACTATTATTACTATTAATCCTCCCATCCTTCCTTTCACCCATCTCCTCCCACTTATGATTGTAGGACTATAACTTTGTTGCTTGTATCCTAATGATTTTTATTGACTGTTTCCTAGTATGATTTGATTGCTTATTGTACCCTATGACTATTATTAAGTGATTATGATTCTTGACTCTTGACGAATGTATATTTTCTTTTATGTATGTTGAGAGCATAGACATCAATACAAATTCCTTGAGTGTCCAATCACACTTGGCCAATAAAGAGTTCTATTCCTATTCCTATTCCTATTCTATTCTATTCTATTTATTCTATTCTATTCTATTTCCCCCCCATGCCTGAAAAGGGAGGTGTCGATTCCTGCCCACCCACTTGAAATATCATAGGGCAGAGTTATTGAGTTGGGGGGGTGAGTGAGTGTGTGACGACTTTGTTGAAAATGGCTTTCAATGCTCCCTCATATTGGGGGTTTATGTGGCGAGCGCTCACTTTTCAGGCTGAACACAGTATGTTTTAATATTTGGGGTTTTTTTTTCAGCTGTTCTCCAAATGAAGAGTTTAATGTGAATTAAGTCTCGATCCGGTTTATATAAATCCCATCTCAGGCGCTGAGCTAAGTCGGGAAGCTTTGTGACGCTGTCTCCGTTACACGCAAAAAAAAAAAAAAAAAAAGCCCCGGACGAGTCAAGCGCCTTCTCATGTACAAAAGGAGAATAGCTAGATATGAGAAACTTCACCATAATGGCCTATTTTAGTATTGAGGTGCAAGAGTTTGCTTAAAAGTTGAGTCTGTTTTTTTAAATATACATTTACAGTATAATCCGTGCCTATCTTCGTGGATGTGACAAGCCCATGCCGGCTACTTTTGAGCTTTCGCTGACCCGGCACTAGAGGGACGGATGGACGGATCCTCTGCTCAGCTTCGATGTTTCCGTTCGCCTGGTTCCTGTAAGGGTCTCTAGCCAGGCCCGTTTTGGTTCTTGAGAATGTTTGGCTTGCAATAGTGTTTGTTTGTTTTTAAAGAAAAAAAATGTATACAATGTAAAACGTGAGCCTGCAGCATTCTTCCTCTGGGTTCATTAAAATTGTTCTTCCAAGTTGAAGGTGGGGGGGAGGGAGGGAGAGAGAGAAAGATCGACTTTAAGAGCGTTCAAGTTTTTAAGACTCTTCTGCTGCTTGTTGTGGCTTGGAAAATTTCCCATCCTCGCTTTTGTAGGCGAGACCGAGCAGTTGTTTTTTGATCCCCACTGCACGCCAAAGCACCCCCTCCCGCGCTGCCTCCCTGCTCCCCCCCCTCCCCGGTTAATTCGTGCTAAGCCTCCCTCTTTGGAAGACTTCGCCGATTGTTCATTGTCTTGTGACTCCTCAGCCCCCATGGAAGAAGCCGAGAGCGGCGGCGAAAGCGACAGGGGCGTGTCCCTCCGCGGTCCCATCCCGGGTGACAGTCAGGGCTTCGCCGCCTCCTCTTTCCTTCAGAGGCGCGGTGTCTGCCTCCCTTCACACTTCTTGCCGGGAGCTCCGAAGCGGAGCGCGAAAGCGTGCACGGGAGCGAGAGAGCGCGCGAAGTTTGGCCGCTATGAGGCGAGCGCCTGGGCTTCCACTCTTGTTCCTCACAGTCGCCCTGAGCTGGTGTGGTTCCTTATTTGGGCAGCCCCGATGGCCGCAGCAGCAACAAGCAGCGCCGCAACAACGAGGTACAAAAGAATAGCGCATCTCTCAGGGGCTTCTGGGAAAAAACAACAACAACCCCAAAACAAAACAACACACTTTTTTTTTGGCTGTGCGTTCCTCTCCCCAACTTTGCTTCTTTCCTTCTGCTCTTCTTCCCCCTATGGGGCTCTGAATCTTTCTTTCCCGTGAAGATGAGTAGTATAATCTCACTTCCTCCAAGAAGCATCAAGAGTGTGGTCCAAATAGGGGACCCAAGTTTTCCCTTGGAGGAAGCTGGGCTTCCCACTTGCATCAATGGGAAGAATGATATCAGTTTTCTCTGGTTTGGTTTTTAGGGGGAAATATGATTTCTCAAAGAAATCTCCTCTTGGGCCTCTTGGGAGAACAAAATACAATTTGCAAAGAAATGGGGATTTGGCAAATAGAACTCCCTCCCCACATTAATTATTGGAAGCTGCTTTGAGATACCAGCCTAGATCCATTAAGAAGGATTTTAAAATCCAGGCTAATTTGATGATGGTAATTCCAAGATGTGACAGTCAATGAATGGGAAACAAAACAAATCTTCATCTGTTATTGCCTCTGTAATAATATAATTGTATTGCATATTTGATTTTATTGTGGATATGGCAATATAATCGATAGGAAAGGAGAAAACCATTTAAGATGTGAACAAAAAAAAAAACAAAAAAACAGTTCTAGAATGATGTAAGATATGTGCAACTTGGTGTTAAGTTTCACTGCACTAAAGTGATTCTGGTAAGGCTTATTGGGATGGGGAAACTTAATTTAAATAGCTTGAATAATAAAGACCTGTGAATTTTTTTTGTAGTAATCTCAAAGTAATCAAAAACTTTCAGTATCTAGGGATTTTTCTGCCCATCTCACATTTTTGGTGAGAGGATTAAATGGTTGTGATGTATTATCCCTTTTCAAACCCTCAAGCAATTGGTTTTCTAATACTAATTTTAACCCATAGAAGATTATTTGATTATAGCTGAAGCTTTTTACAAATGTACTTGGGGATAAGTACAATTGAAACCAGTGGAAATTAATTGGAACTAAAGTTGCAAAGGATTTGCATATATCTTAATATAATTTAAACCAATATAGAATATGGGGAGAAGGTATCCTTCAGACATAGGGGCTACGTTTTGAAATTGTATCACTGGAAAACAGGAATAGTACATATTTTAAAATAGCACATTAAAAATCATTGGAACATATATTCAGTGCTGCTGACATTTAAGCTTCAGACAAGGAGAATGTTCAGCTATAGAAATACTTAGACATTTTTGTCACCTCTCATAGTGCTGATGTTGTTATTTATAGATCATTGTACATGGCACTTTAAAGGGGGAGAGGTCCTGGCCCCATTGAGTTTACAGTCTCAATTTCAACAGTGTATGTGTGTGTGGGGTGGTACATAGGACAAACAGCAGGATGGGGGAGAGGGAAATGAAGAACTGGAAAGTAGAAGATTGTAAACCAACATAGGTTGGATTAATTTTAACTACATTTTAGTTTAGCTATATTAAGAACTATGTAAAGTAATAGGAATCGTGGAAAAGTAGAGTTGTATGATTTGAAGAAAGAGAACAAGAGGAAACATACATATCAGTCATATCTATTTAGTGTGGGCAGCCTGATTTTAATAGAATCCAAATATTGCTGATATATTTCAGAACCATAGATCCATGTAAGCAGACTTATTTGTCTATGACCATCATAACCCACCTGCCAAATCTGTACTATATAAAACACTTCAGACAGGAGATACTAACTGAATACTGACATAGTATTAGCTATGTGTCATCTGTTCCTCCTCATTTTCTTATTCTGAAATGATTGCTGTTTCCTTATGTACTGTATGTTGCATGGTTATTTATTATTATTTAGTGTATGATGAGAACATGACAGAGAGAGAAATAAACATATACACACAACCCATTTAATTATAAATAAAACTTCTATGGGGGTATGGAAGTGGCCTCCCAACTGGATGTACAATTGTACAACTGGATGTTACATGGGATAACATTTCAACATTTTACATAGAAGTCATATGAGTAGTAATGAAAATAAGTGATCATGGGAGATCATTGTTCCTGATTGAATGAAAAATCATTGATTTTTGTTTATTTGTTTTGTTTATTGTATGCAATTACTTTCTTCTCTCAAGAGTTTTAGGATATTTAGCTAATAATATTTAGCTAATAATAGAAATCGTTTCTTCCACTTTCATATAATGACCTCGTAGTCCAAACTAGTGCAGCTTTAGGCCCATCGAGGTGTCTTTGACCCACTCACTGCCCCGCTGTCAGCCATAGAAAGAATGGCAAAGCATTTCTGATAAAAGTTGTCAAGAAATATTGCCTAGGCATTTGCCAGAAGTCAAGACTGACTTGAAGCCCACCCCCTGCAAAAAAGAAAGAATATTAAAAGAGGCAGTTGCAAGAAGGCCAATCTTTAAGGGACCTCCTGAGTAGGACAGAGGGAGACATTAGCACACCTTCTATCGTTTAGTGCTGGCATCTCCAACCTTGGCAACTTAAGACTTATGAACTTCAACTTCCAGAATTCCTCAGCCAGCTTTGCTGGCTGAGGAATTCTGGGAGTTGAAGTCCACAAGTCTTGAAGTTAGTGAATCTAAATAATAAATGGATAGTATTTTCTATTGTTTCCTGGTAGTCATGTATCTTTTTCCACTCCTTGAGTCTTGGTGTAGGCAATGTGTCCTGCTTCTGTTATAGGATGAACTTCTGTGAAGATTCCATGAATAGATAGTTAAACACTGAAAGAAACAAAGGTTCTGTCTCACCTTCTAGTTAGCTAGTATTCTGAAACTTTTTAAAGATGTGGGAAAGAAGCTTTTCTGAAGACCTGCTCTCATAAAGTCTCAACATTTCTTCTAATTGTTCATTATTCTCTTACTCCTAGAAAAAATAAGTGTGTGTGTGTGTGTGTGTGTGTGTGTATCAGTGGTGGGATTCAAATTTTTTTTACTACCAGTTCTGTGGGCATGGCTTGGTGGGCATGTTGTGGCTTGGTGGACGTGGCAGGGGAAGGATACTGTAAAATGTCCATTCCCTCCCCACCCCATTAACCTGCTTTCCAGCTCCATTCTCCTGTGCGGGGCAACAAAAGAAGACCCAGCCAATCAGATGGGACTCAGAGAATAAATGGGGGTGGGGCCAGTCAGAGGTGGTATTTGCCGGTTCTCCAAACTACTCAAAATTTCCACTACCAGTTCTCCAGAACTGGTCAGAACCTGCTGAATACCACCTCTGGCGTGTATGTATATGTATATATAAATTTGTTCTTGTGCCTGTGTATTTTTATTTTTCTATTTCTGTAGAAAACTGATAGTAAAAAAACCAACACAGAACAGAACTATAATATAGCCTTTTCCTGAGACTTAATCCCCCAATTCTTAACCAAGTGCACTAAGTTATGTTAAATGACAACATCCAGACTTCTTAGGCACTCCATAGCTATTATGCTAGTTTCTAATAGTATATTTATGACTGTAAAACATCTGAGCTCAGTAGGCTGGGGAAAGCTTCTCAAATTTTTGTCATGCGTTCAAAACCTAGTGTAAGAGTTACTGTGCTTTTTCTCAGTGGGGAGACATTAATCCACACCAAAGAATATATTATATAATAAACCTATCATAGTGTGAAATGACACTTTAAATTTAGGTGTGTGTATATATATATATATATATAGTATGGAACCATCTTTTAGGCATTTTGGTCATTATATCGTTCAGACTTTTACAGGATTTTCTGGATGGTCATTAAAATACAGAATTCCAGCACATCTTGCATCTCAGACAATACACTAATCTGTAATTCAACTTTTAAAGTTGTTTAGAGACATCTGTGGTCAAAAATCTGGAATTAATTTAGTATTTAGGTCATTGCTTCATATGTTATTTATTCTTTTGTTGACTAAAATATTCTCCCCTGCCCACACTTAGAGAATTTTTAGATTATATCAGGTTGGCTTAAGAAAAATGATATTGTGGAACATTGCATTTTTAGATCTTTTCGGACTGTGTGTGTGTGTGTGTGTGTGTGTGTTCTGCATCAGTTTTCTGCAGAAGCAAAAATGACACATACCCCAAAGATACAGAACAAAACATTCTGTATATTTTGTTGCCTCCTCCAGAGTATTGGAATGAAGGTTGTGGGAGTGGAGAAAGCACATAATGTAGTTCACTGGTTTAAAACGATTGATATTTCACATTAAATTATGGCAAGCTTCCTAAATTTAATATTATTTTAAGTTTGAAATACTACCTCTTGCAGCTTTTGAAATAAGAGTATTCAGTTCAAATATTCGGAGTTTGGTAATAATTTATGTTTTAGTGTTTTGGATTCAAACTTTGTTTGTGACACCCTGATCTATAAAGTTACAATATATGGCAAGCTATTTTTGCAAATTTGTAAAAGAACTTGGGGTCCAACTGTGAACCACCTGTTCAAAATTAGAATCATAATACAAGCCCTTTAGCATCCTAAATATAAAATTTATATTCAAATTATGTTTGAAATCTTTGGTCTTAATATTGCTAAGTAGTATCTTATTAAATAGTCATGGTAGAATTATGTTGATTTTCTTAAACTGAGGTTTTAATCTTGTGGTGTGTATTTTGTTTATATTGTGTTGTATAATTAATATGTGCTACTTTGAGTAAATATTTGAGTAATACTTTTGTTCTTGTTTAGTGATGAAAACCCTCATTGAACACAATATGACCTATGCCCATGACTGTAAACACAGTTTTCATTCTCAAAACAAGAAAGTGATTTCTAGTAGGAAAATCTTCCTTCATACAAGATTGGTAATATATTTGTTAGAAATACCTCTTTCAGCTCATCTGTTCATGTTCGTATTGGCTTTAACGTAAAACTGCAAACTTTGTATTTTCCCTTAGTTGCTAATAGGATAGGTATTAATGTGGCCTGCTTCTTCTTCCCTATTATATAATAAATACAGGTTAATGAAGGGTGGGTAA